TGTAACCCACATTTCCTTTGTGGAAACGCGACCTGCTTTTTCAACGGTAGGATCGATTTTTTAGAAAGTAACAATGATTGCATCTGTCCACACAGGGTTACTGAGGTAAAGATAACCGATCATTCCAGTCTGTAACTTTCCGGAGCTACCTATCTCAATGGGATTTTGCGTTCACTGATTATCATGTAGTTTGGCCACAGTGTGCTCATTTTACGCTGGCAATGCAATTTTGAACTGTCATAAACACTGAAGTCATAGTTTGTCTTCTGACCATAGCATCCTCATGTCATTGCCTCCAAGTTTACCATCTTTCGGGAGCCACATATTTATTCGCAAGCCGCTAAAAAACACATTTTAGCGCGTTATAGTTGTTAGTTTGCGGTCGAATACGTTTTAATATAGGACTTCACTAATTTTCGTCTTATCTTTGCTGCTTTATAGAATCAGGTACCCAGGTGTAATAATTTTTGTGCACACGTCTTAACTATATTAAAATAAACAGAACTGTCATCCGATCCCACTTTCATACTTAAATGGAAACATTCCATCACCACAGTGAAAGATATATCTGCACTTTATTCAAACTACAGAGTCCCTTTAGACGTCTTTGACTAGACTGTTTCCTCCCCGACCTTCCATAATGCCGAGACAAGTTAGGTAAAATGGGAACACGTTTTAGTTTACCTTAATTGCTCCATCGTCCTCCTCCTGGTTGGTGGTGGTAACATTTTGTTTATTTCCTACGTAAACAAAAGCGTCTAGCGCGCAGTCTTAAGATGATTTTTCCAACAGCTTTTAAATTTTCTCCCAACAAAACACCTTACGGTTTATGTCCCTTACGGAATTTTGTAGTTCTGCCCACCCGCACTAACAGTTGGTTCAGGAGTTTGCGAAATCGGCGTCATTTTTACGGAAAAAGGTGACAAGCACATTCGAACCTACCTTTCCACTAACTGCCATTTAAATAGGGCCTATTGTCATTGCTCTATTGTTTCTTAGATCATAGACTGGAAATAAAATGTGCTTGGTAGACGGGGCAAGCGTCACGTTCCTATCGGCCCATACTAATTTGTTCGCTTGAGATTTATATATCGCCAAGTCTAATATTATTAAAAACTTGCACACCTTTCCTCAGTTGCAGGGCTTGTACAGGGGCCTCATCTTACCCTTATAAAATAACGAATTTTTAATATTTTTTCCTATTCCACACCGTACTAATTTTGGTTTTATTTGATTCCAAAACAATCTCTTTCTCCATTTTAGCTAAGGGGAACACTCAGAGTGTTGATGAAACCTCTAGTCCCGAAAATTCCTTTTGCTGGCGCGGTTACAGTATGCTTCATGGACAATCCCGTAGGCCAATTCTTCACACACGCATTCATTTTTAGTATATAAACTTCAGCCTTACGCACGCTGGAAATGTGCTGGGGCTCCCCGGGCTTCAGTAAGTCGTCTTGCTGGTTTAAGTTTCTATTTATTTAAAAAAATACCATTATAGTATACTTTTTTCGTGTTTGTCAAAGATAATACAGTAGACATTTTTATGTAGCACCTGTTGTTCTTTTATAGACAAACTTTGAATAGGACTGTGCAGGATGCTGTAAGCTCTATCTGTGTTCTTCCGAACCGGGTTTCCGTTTCGCTTGTTGATGATGTTTCGATGGCTCATCTGAAATTTCCATCGGCACAAGTAAGCACTTTTTTCTTCAAAATGCTAAATTGTGCCTTTTATGCGCTTTCGCGAGTAGTCGCCAGCCTGTTTCTCCTTTCTGTAACGTTTACTCTAGCCATAAGATTTATTAGCAAGCGCATCGGCACTTCTTAGTTGCGTCAAAACCAAACCCGCGCTTACTGTAGCTTTTCTTTAGGTTTCATGCCTCAGGCTGCTTTTGACTTCCGTCTTTCCTACCTACAAATTTAGGGGGTGCTCCGCATAAACGTTGTATCTGCCAGTGACCTGGTTGCCTCGGACATAAATATTGTTGGGAAAAACGCGTCGGACCCGTATTGTGTGGTTCGCGGTAAGTTAAGTCCAGCTACCCATTTTCCACACCCGTACCTCCCATGCTGCTGGCTTGAACCTAACTCGATCCTGAAAAACTGCAAATTTTCGAAGTTCCCTATGCTCCTGGCCAATTTTTCGATTTAACTGAAAATAAATTATAAAATTTTGGCTGAAAAAGAAGCAACCCACTTCCCCTTTATATTGGAGCCTTTTCTCACCATATTCGATTACTTTTAAGCCCCCCTTTAAGGTAGCAAACAAAAAAAGAGTGTCCGAATACATATTAGGATTTTACGAAAACAGTTAATCTTCTGTCTGTCCGTTCTGCTTGTATATTACGCATTTATTAGGATTGTTTTCTATCTTAATGCACACAATAATAAATAAACATTTTTTCACGGTCCCAAGTCTTCCATTCAATAAAGCAAAATACGGTTGAAGCTTATTTTACCGCGTTTTGTGACAAAAAACTTCACATATTGGCAACTGAAATTGGTCCTTGCTTCTGGAAAACACTGCGATTCCTTCACTTTGCCTTCACCTGATTTTTATCAGCTTAAGACTAAATTTTCCACTTCTGGATAGGATAGGATAGAAAATTTTCAGCTGACCCAATTGTGAACCCACACAGCAGGGCAGGCCTTTTCACAGCCAAGGCTCTAACACTGAGCTACGAGGCTCACCGTGCACCGTGAATTTAATCACACTTGGCTCGATTTTTCCACCCAACTTAATGTTTGTATGGAATCCACCACTACAGAACAGCAAGCTAACTGCCCAGGCAGGATTTCCTGTTCGAAGAGACGGCGTCTTACAGTTTATAAAATGTTTTTGGGGCTGTTGTACCCTTTTCGAGTTAAAAAGAACATCAAAATATATAATTTACTACAAAAGGGAGGTCATTTTGGCCATATTTTATACAAGACATGGCTATATATATGAGGACGCCCTCATCCCGGTGTTGCTGAAATATTATGGCACGGTAGGCAATATTACAACCTTAGCAAAACAATCGCGAAATCGGTCGCTTTGTCCATAAATGCTGGAAAGACCAAAGAATGCACCCCTCGAGATTAGTGGCTGCCAACTTGAAGAAGTCGACAATTTCAAATACCTTGGAACGAGGTTGCTACCAAATGGACAGAGTAACGATGACATTGTCTCCCGAATTGACGCAGCACGACGAGCGTTCTCCAGTGCTTATGGACCCGAAGTGATATTTCTATCTGAACAAAGGTCCGTGTGTAACGTGCATCTGTGCGGTCCGTTCTCCTATACGGATGCGAATTTTGGGCTATGCGCGTGGAAGATGAACAGCAACTGGAAGTCTTTGACTATTACTGTCTGAGGAGCATCCTTCGAGTGAAGTACACCGACTTCGTCTCAAA